CTTGTTTTCTCACCACGCCTTGTTTTCATTTTCAATGTGAAAAAAGAAATTTTACCTCCTATCCCTTTTTTGATCGGCTATTCAAACAACCATTTTCTATTTTTGTGCCTTTCATTCAGTTTATAATGCCTGTTTTCATTATCCAAAATCTTTTTTGACCCACTTTTATGGATTTAAATTACGGTAACTATTGACAGGGTGACCATGAATCAGAAGACTTGATGAAGAACCCTGCTGATATGACAGCCTTTGTGAGTTATTCCTGGTTTATTTTTTATGTTTAAAATGGCTGAAAAACTGGTATTTTTTATTCTTTTTTAAATTCAATGAATGTAAAGTAACTTTTTCAGGCAGGGAGGCCAATTGTATAAACTCACATGCAAATGTACTCGATGTTTCCTTGAGTTCTTTTTTTCTAGAAATTGTTTACTTCGCTTCCTTTCTGCTGCCATTATCATTATTTTTGTTGTGCAATATGGAGAGTTTTTCCATTTTAATAATATTTTCAATTCAATTTTTTCAGGTTCAAAATCTTCTTGTTCAGATGGTGAGTTTCTTTTTCTTGCTTGAAGATCACACTAAACAAATGAAAATATAAGCTATATATTCTTGGTACTGACTGAATGGCCATTCACAGCAAACCAGGTTCCAGACAATGTCTGAAAGCATTATTGGGAAGAATATCCTTTATGGCTATTTCAATTCTTGTTCCAAATTTACCTCTATTATCCGTTTTGTTTGCTATTATTTGAAATCCATTATTATAGATATTAAACTGTATATCAGAGCTATCTAGAAATTACATTTTGTTTGATATAGCATAATTATTTGTATTTATTTAAGCGCTATTTTGAATGAACAATAATGATTTGAACCTGCTTTATTTTTTTTTTTTTTCTCTATTTTGAATGAACAATAATGATTTGAACCTGCTTTTTTTTTTTTTTTTTTCTCTTAAACATTCAATATTGCTGACAACTAGATGTAGATGGTGACCGGTTACTAGCTAGAAGCCATCTTTAATTATGTTGAAATTTAAGCTTCTGTAATTTGAAGATGTTAGAGAGTCAAATAAATGAAATATTTAAATAATATAGCATTACAAGATAGATGACCAGGAAATTTAATGAAAATGATGAAACGGCATAATTATGCATAAACTATGCAGACTTAAAAAATATTATTGCCACTGCTACCATTGCTATCCTCCCATATTAACGGTGTTACTGTGAAAATATTTCTGCTGAGATATTTGGAAAAATAATTTGTAATACAATCTTCGGTATGCCATCTTTCTTCTAGCTCGGTGTTTACTTTAACATTGCACACTAGATGAAATGGGAAGCCGGATTGATGAACTGGAGCAGAGCATCAACGACTTAAAAGCTGAGTTGGGAGAAGTTCCAGTCAAAAAACCCGAGGAATCGAAAACTACTGATGTTTCTTGAGATTTCTACATCTCCAGTCAGATTGAAGTGGGAAGCTAAGAAAAAGTTTATATTAGGTTTATTCAGCTTTCTTATTGGTATGCATCTCATGGTTGCAGCACTGCTAATTTGGTTTTGATTTCTTGATCCTCATAACTTTCATCGTTTTATCCGGTTAAACTTTTGGTGCAGTTCTGTGCTTGCCTTTAATGTGTTTTGACATTTCTAAATGCTGATTATTGTATGAGCTTGGAAATATTTGCAGAATTATGTAATATACCTGTTTGTGTTGCTCATTATTTCATTTTAATCACTGCTTGTCCTTGTTTTAATTTTTTTGGAAGGCATGATCGCTTCTCTTAATATCTTTCATTTATTTCTTCAATAAATAATATCCAATGACAATTTAAGAGAATATAATCAAAATAAAAAATGGCTAATTTAAAAATATAATAAATACAATTATTTGACTTAAAAATCGCGCTACTTAAGCAGGTGCTTGTAAGCTAACTGTTTGCGCATGTGTATGGCATAGTCTTGTTCCACAGAGTAGATGATTGCTTGCTTAAAAACTCAATGTATATATATATAAGAATGATTGGTAGTTTTAAAATGTTTCTCAGTTAGATTACATTGAGAAATAAGAATTTTCCATCTATTAATGCAAATTGAACAGCTTTATCATTGCTTGCATCACATAAGAATCTGTACTGTTTTGAGAATAAACCTCCCTGTAATTTACAAATTTAGTGAATAAGAACGTTGCTTTTTTTCAAAAAAAAAGTTATGAAATTCTTGAATTTTATTATTTTTTTTAAACTAGTAATCATGTGGTCGGTTCATGATATTTACATGCTTCTTTTACTAAAATGTTAAGTTCAATTTGATTATATGTTGAGATATTATTTATGAATGATGAAAATTGATTTTAGAGATCGACATAACTGATTGATTCTAAGCTTTGGCAGGTTCACCAATAAAGAGTTGAGGAAAGGCTTGGTTCAAAGAAAGTGGGAGAAGGGTTGAGGTTTGGTTGTCTGGTTTACTTAATGGCGAGGGAAATTTGACCATCCAGTGGGAGAAATAAAAGATACATGGAGGGGAAATTAAATAATAGGGTCATGTACATACATACCACACAATTCTTATATATTTTCATATCACCCCTAAACTTTGATATTTACATGCTTACCACTTAAATCCATAACATCACATAGAAAATACCACTATTATTAACTTTTTAGAAGTGAAAGACACCTTTTCATGCACAGTTTTATAAGAGCTAAGAGTTATAAATGTAAATATCGAATTTTAGGTGTCAGACAGGTAAATACATAAGAATGGTGTGGTATGTACGTAAATTTCTCTCAATAATATTTTGATGGATAGACATTGTGGCCCACATCCATTGTGAGAGGATGAGAGAGATTCTACAACTCAAGGGAAGAGTTATAGAGTTTATCAATATCCAGACTCTCCCCCTTCCTCTCTTTCCCAGCCTACAACTTAGATCTAGGATTGGTTTGTCTCTATGGTGTAACATGCTGTCTAGCCCCTCGAGGAAACCATTGTGGGAGAAACTTGAGGTAGTTTTGAGGTGGATGATGACACTTTAGTCGCTGGATTGAGCTGTGATGGTTGCAAGTGCACAAAGATAAAAAATGCATAAATTTGATTTGGAGAATGTTTTAAGTAGACATGCTTGGGGATGATATTATTGGTTGTTCCTTTGCGATTCAAATGACATTGTTAGATAAAACTTGGAGGATATTTTTGCACTATCTTGGAGATCTTATCAAATTCATCTGAAAAGGGCAGGTTGGATCTGCATATTGGCATTGGACACCATCATGGCCAGGTTTGGAATTCTAACCAAATCAGAATTCAAATCTTTGAGTGACCTTGAACACCTTTGGACATTTTATTTTTCTTGGCCTTTCCTACTATGAATCTGATTGCTTGTTCAATAGTTACTGATAGATGAAGGAAACGTTTTCAATGAATTTTGATTCATGAGCCTAAAAAAAGCTTCATATTGAAAATGGAAAGGGTATCAACTTGGAGGGTGATTGATAAGCTTATTATTATTAGAGGTAATGAAAGACAAATTGAACGTATGCATTGTAGAGATTTTCATTAGATGATCTAGAAGATCAGATATGATTTATTTAATTTTGGTAGATTAATATTTCTCTCTGGAGTAAGGCCTTGTGATTAATTAATGGGATAGAGGTCCTTCAATGCAAGAGTTAAAGATTGAGATAACTTATTTAAGAGTAGATACCAATGAATTTGATGAATATAGAACTATTAAAAGATCCTTTAAAGGAAGGATCAATAACTCATTGGGATTATAAAGTAGAGGTTTTGATTAATTGCAAATGCAAAAGGCTATATGGGTTTTAATAGGGAGAGATCCAATCACCCAGGAATTATAAATAAACATTGAATTTATAATATGAAGGGATCGTCTTCCTAAAGGAGCCTCAAAAGTTGTGAAAAATATAAGATGAGATTGATATTGGGATGTTTGAAGGGAAGACAAGTCTTACAACTTTACTAAAATCAAAGTGGTCCATGAGGCCAAGAATAATGTAAGAATGATGAGAATAACATAAGAATGAAGTGGCCTATAACCTTAAATATTGGGTGATTCTAGATCATTGGAGAACCCATCGAATCATAATTCCATGAGTTGAATGAAAAATATCTCTTAAGAATTAAACTATAGAACATCGCATGATTTTTTTTTTTTTTTGTTGGATTATGTTCATCACTGTAAGCCCAATGTTTAATTACCTTGTTTAGTATATAACCTTCGATTGTTCCAAGTATTTTGTTGTGCTATTGATAGGCATACTCATTTGTTTTTTATAACATTGACCAAAAGAATGTTCATGTATATTTTCTTGTTTTGCAAAGTTTTAAGTTGATTTTAGTTTGATAGATTTTAGATAGAAAAATTAAACTTAAAGGGCTTATCACAATCACAAAATCCATATAATATAACAATCAATTTAGGAAAAAAATTATAATATCATTATAAAAACATAAATATAAGCAAATAATCTTCTCACTGCCAAATATGTTGTGGATCCTGATTTATCTATTCATATATTATACTAGAACCTCAGCACAGAAGAAGAGAGAATGAGAAAGAGGGATGAGCAAAGATGGTTGAGTGGAAGGAGGGAATTCTGCTGCCAAACTCATTGAATAGAAATTTTAGGCTAGAACATGAAAGCTTGTTTAACCTTAATTCTTCTTGTGACCCAATATTTATAAGTGTGGAGAATGGTGTTTGAGTGCTACAAAAAAAAAAAAAAAATGCACGCAACGCACAAGCTACATATACTAAAAAGCGAAAAAAAAGAGGAGATAGAGAGAGCGAAAAAAAAAAAAAAAAAAAAAATGCACGCCCGCACGCACAAGCTACATATACTAAAAAGCGAAAAAAAGAGAGGAGATAGAGAGAGCAATAACCCAAGGTCTCAGAGATAGACTAGTAGTATGCCTTCTAATTTGAGCAATTGGATGCTTACTGTGGTGGACCTGCCAAATGTCTCTCTGGGCTTGGGCATATACGAGTCCAATGGTATTCTTCAGCGAGGAGTTCATGAACTTACTACATGTTCCTTGGTTAACTCGCTTGAGGATTTGCCTACGTTCTTGTGGGTTTGTTTAGGCCTTTTTTGGTAAGTTTACCTTGGCCAATTTGTATTGAACCTAATTGGGAGTTCTTCTGGAATTTGGTTGACAAACTCCCTTAAAACATGAGTGGCGAACCCTTCCTGAACTTCGATTTGGCGAGTTCACTTTGTCTTAGTTTGGTGAGTTCTCTCTAGTTCATTTGGGCATATTTCACTCTTAGTGTATTTTGGGTATACATTTAGAAGAAAAAAACAATTGAATGATACCGAAGAATAATTTTATTGCAAAAATGATACTGTCACTTAGTTCATTCCTTAAGATTAGTTATTTATTCTTCCATGTCAAGTCCATCACTCACCTTTTTTACATAAAAGAAACAGTTTAATGTAATAATTAGCATTTAATACATGAAATTGATAGAGAGCATAAATTAAGAAAAGTTAATTATAAGATTTTGCATTGATTTTGATCTCTTTGTTGTTTTTTCCCCCATCAACATCATTTAGCTTCTTATAATTGATTTCTCCCTTTTCGCGGTGAAAGGGTTACCAAGGATTGAGAGATTTTTCCTCCCATTAACTAAGCTCTGCAACTTTATGAATGGAGACTATTGCAAGCAAGATTGAAGTTTCAAAAGATACCATGATAGAACATGCGCAAAGTAGAAAGTTCAAAGAGGAGGAAGGTAAAGTTGGAACTCATTGAGACAGCTAATAAGATTCATTTGCGAGCGTTCGTCTGTGCGCCTATGCGTTCCTCATGTACTTGCTAACACCATTGCTAGTATCATATCAATGGTGGCCCGAGGCCCGAGTTGCCTTCGGCCTCGACTTATCTATTCCACCATTTTTTATGTTTAGGACTCAATAGTGGCACTTTGTAGCTCAACAAAGCCTCTATAGTCAATTTTAAACAAATATATAGAATTTGAAATTTTAGTAATTCTTGCTTTAATTGATGTGCCAAATTTAAGAATGTTTGAATTTATGATTGAGATTTTATTTTGTTCATAGCCTTGAGGGGAGGTTCGCATTAATGTCCAGGGAGTGATCGTGCCTTGTAAATTCTCCAAAGTATAAATATTACATAAATTTTTTCTCATTCGACATTTATTTTCAAATGATAGAGGTTTCATTAACCGAAAATGGGTAATAATTGATGTCATAAAAGAATTCACATGATTAGGAGTGAATCTTGATGTATTTTAGATGATATAGCTTTCAGAATAAATATTAAGCATGTCGATACTTTAATTTCATTTACTCTATGGTCAAATTGTGCTTCTTAATAGTATAAATTTGATAACATTATAAGTGATTTTATCCGAGTCCAAATGAGCTCAAATCAAAGACTTAAATTATAATTGAAAGCTTCAAAGCATTAATTGAAAGTTAAACAATCTCTAAATTTAGCATGCTTATCAAGTGGCTTGACACCTAAGATTACTTTGATTATCTTGCTCTTAAGACACTTAATGATGAATGAATTGCATGATTAAAGGATCAACATGGAGTATTTGAATGAATGAATTGCATGATTAAAGGATCAACATGGAGTATTCGAATGAGTGGTTTGAAATCGTGGGTGTAAGAGAGTTGGTATGATAATCAAAGGACACACACAGTCACTTTAAAATTATCAACACACCGG